TTCTTCTTCTTCTTATTTGGCGCTGTAACCGCCTAAGCGATTTTGGCCGAGTCCAAAACAGCACGCCAGTCATTTCTCTTCTGTGCTAGCTGACGCCAATTGAAAATGCCAAGTGAAGCCAAGTCCTTCTCCACCTGGTCTTTCCAACGCAGAGGAGGCCTTCCTCTTCCTCTGTTACCAGCATCGCGGCCCGCGTTGAATATTTTCAGAGCAGGAGCGTTTCTGTCCATCCGAACGACATGGCCAAGCCAGCGGAGCCGCTGAATTTTAATTCGCTGCACTATGTCTATATCGTTGTAAAGCTCATACAGCTCATCGTTAAATCGTCTGCGATATTCGCCATCACCAACGCGTAAAGGTCCGTAAATCTTTCGTAGAATCTTTCTCTCGAAAACTCCAAGAGCCGCCTCATCAGATGCTTTCATTGTCCATGCTTCCGCGCCATACACCAGCACAGGCATGATGAGTGACTTATAGAGTGTGATCTTTGTACGACGAGAGAGGACTTTACTTCTCAATTGCCTACTCAGCCCAAAGTAGCACTTGTTGGCAAGAGTGATTCTCCGTTGGATTTCAAGGCTGACATTATTATTGGTGTTAATGCTGGTTCCCAAATAAAAGAAGTCTACTTTTTCAAACTTGTAACTGTCAACAGTGACGTGGGTGCCAAGACGCGTACGCTCTGACTGTTTGTGTGCTGACAGGAGATACTTCGTTTTGTCCTCGTTCACCACCAGACCCATTCGCTTTGCTTCTCTATCCAATCCCGAGAAGGCAGAACAGACGTAGCCCTTGTTTTTACCGATAATATCGATGTCGTCGGCATACGCCAGCAATTGTACGCTCTTATAAAGTATTGTGCCTGAGCAAATTTTATAGTTCTTGAAAAATCTTTTCACCTTACTTAGCTCGAATTTTTTTATTACTAATTTTAAAGAATTAAATTTTTTTGTTCGGTTTTTCCAATTTTTGGCTAATTAATGCAGAAAGAAAAATTAAATAATTTTGTTGGCAAAAAGAAAGTAGTTGTTTTTTAACGATTCCGCAGATCGTTAGAGGCTGCTTATCAAAGTACGGAAAACTGGCGACTTTGTAAGTGGTGGTCAATTCATTTTTAGTACTGTATCGCCAGTTGCAGGGTTTTTAAAACTTTATTTGCTGAGCTCTGAGGGCTATGGAATCGCAGCAATCTTGAAAACAAGCGTGGGCATTTTGTTGAACCCGAACTATGACGAAACGTTAGTATTGATACATAGTGGTGAATTTCCAAAGAATTCTGCTTTACCTCATAACAATTCCTTTTTACAGTAGGTTACATTTTCGACTTTTTGTTTAAAAACCCAATATTAATACTACTTGCCATTTTATGGATGAAGCAACTTCAGATACATATAATCCTTGTCCTCAAATTTGGCAACAGACTTTTTCCTGGAATATTTTAACCCCTTAACTCCTACCAGAAAGGGCTTTGAAAATTAGATTTAAAGGGTTAAAATGCTAAGCATCGAATTTTATTATGAGTAGGGAAAACGACAGTTTTCTGGGAGTTAAGGGGAAAGAGTAAATACCAGGGACCAAAAATAAGCGTTATTTTTATTTTTATTGGTTAAATTTAGTAGTTACTTTTTCGATTAATTTTAACCTTACAATAGGGCCTGCGTATTCATAACCAACCTTTTAACCTTTTAGGATATACAAACTTAAAGCTTAAAAAAA